TTAGATTTGAATAAAGTATTCTTTTCACAATAAACATGATGGATAACATATATATTTTTATGTAATGTTTGTATACATACCATTCAATTCCTATGTATTTACATATTTAACACTGAAACTTTTGAGAGTTATATGTACACATGCAAATACGTAAGTACCAAGATTTATTTTTGGCTAAGAAAAACATAAATATCAAAGGTGGGAATCAATATGAGCTTGAACTTTAATGGTAGGAATCGACATGCTTATGATGAATTATAAGCACTAAATAATGTTAACGTTTTGTTAAGTACTAAATGTACTGATTCAAAAAAGTTTCTAATGACTGTGTTGGCATCCATTATTTATGCAACCTAAGCAAAACATCCCTGTCGAGTGACACGGCGCAAGTCGTACTCCAAGTCCATTGTGGTCAAACCAGCATTGCCACTGGTATCCTCCACGATGACGTTTGCTCCTGTGGCATAGAGCTATATATGACTGATACATATTCTTGCGGCATAGACTGTTGACGAGGTAGCTCCATATGTGTTTGTGCCCTAAGTTTAAGGTTCGGACAGAAGAATTTCACAACTAGAACTGTCGTGCTCTACGAGATGTGTACGGTTCACATTCTCGAGCACTTTTGAGACATGTTTTCGACCCCCTATGGAGGTCCGAGGGTCATGAATTGCTCATATTCGATCCTCCGAAAGTCCCACAATGCTTGAGACATCTTTGACAGACTTTTTTGGAAGCCAAAATTTTCTGGGGATTGGTGTGACCACGCCTAACCAGTGGGCTTGAACACGCCTAACCAGTGGCGTGACCACGCCTATATTAGGAGTGACCATATCAATTCCTCCCCGAAGTGCTTCAAAGTGCCCGGCGTAATTACGTCGGGTCTTGGGCATAGCCACCCCTATATGAGACGATTTGAACAGTGGCATAACCGCGTTCGAGCCCGGCGTGGCCACGTTGCTGGAACCTGTTTCCCGCCGGCAAGGCGGCCATGACCAGTGGTTCTCCACCCTAAAATGGCATAAAAGACACTTGAAGACCATGATAAATGGGGAAGGTTGCCTTGATCCTTTCGGTAAGCCTTTTGATGAGGATTAACCAGAGAAAAAAGAGCTCATTTGCTTGGATTGGCCGTCATTGGAGGAGAAAGGAGGGGAAGAGCGAGGGAACTTGAGAGGAGCATTCAAGGGGCTTTCTTGAAGGATTTCTTCATCTCTTTCAAAGAGAAAATCAAGGAAGCCATTTTTCGCTCATTTTTTCTCATCTTTTCCTTCATTTCTTTGGTCATCTTTAGCTTATATCAATCCTCCTCAAGCTTAGGTCTTCCTCAAGTTCAAGCTAGTCCCCCCTTTCATGAATGGGAGAGAGATCTATTTACAGAGACTGGGAGAGACTTCACTGAAAATAAGAAAAAAATTTAGACCACTTCATTGAAAGACACATAGAGATTTCCTCAATCGGTCAATTTTTGTGGACATTTGAGTGCTTTGATGTTGTTAAAATTGAGTGATCTTGTTGGATTTGTCCCATAAGACGCTCGATTTGACTATAAATCTGTCAGATTTTAAATTCGTATGATCTTCCAATTAGCCACTCAAAGCTCCCAAAACTAGTTCAGCAACTTGAACCAGACTTGATTTAACTCAGATTAGACTAATTTTAGTATCATAGTGTTCGTTTCCTCGAGCGGTCAATATCATTATAAGTTCGTTGAAATCAGTGTTTTTGATAATTTTTAACTGGAGTTTGAATATATCTCATTCAAAAAATATTTCGAGATTTGTATCGGTTATCTTGAGATTTGTGTCAAATAAAAAATTTTATTAATGACGTAGCATTTGTGTGTGTGTGTGTGTGTTATAATTGATGGGAGAAGATAACCCACTACATTCGTGCCCGGGATGTTGACGTGAACAACCTTTCGAGACTGTAGTGAAGGTTGTTCCCCACATCAAATAATGCTCCAAAGATGATCTTCAAGATGTAAAGAAGGTTCTTTCGACAGTTGGACGACGTACATCATTAAGAAATGAAGCAGTGACTCGGTGCCTCAGAGCTGAAAACAATGTCGAACGTGGCTCCGTTTCTCACATACGACGTCAAACTAAATATCTGTTGAATTCTCGTGCAATGCTAAAATGATAATCTATTATTTTATTACGGTGAATCTTCTAGCACACATCAATAATAATAATAATACTATTTCTAATGACCATGGAATCCACATATATGGCATTATTAAGAAACCTGCCGCTTTAATTCGTACACATTAGAAAAATAAATGTATATATATATATAAAGGAAAGGGCACATGATCTATACATTAAACAGTAATTTTCGAATATAAATAATCCTATCATGTCCTACAATTCCATTTCGCAGAAGTCTACATCAACTCATGGGAATATTAAAAAGGCATGACACTCCCATTCCCTCATGTTTACTTCAGCCCCCTCCCAATTATTTCCCTTTCGCCATTTTTCATGAAAAAAGAGACCTTTTAACATGTTCTCATTTGATATTAATGTTGATTTTGACACCTTTTCGTGTGGACATCAGTCAGCCTTCGCTCTGGCAAATCAATCGGCTTTGAGTGTGGGTAGTGATCGGTGTTCACTCTAGGAAGTCAGTCGATTTTGAGTGCGGTATGCGGTCAACCTTAGGGTGGTCAGTCAGTTTATCTGTTATTGTTCCTTGGTGATCTCTAGAGAACTTTGGGGTAATTGTTAAGAGGGCCTCACTTGTTGGATGGAGGGTTAGACCATCGTCTCGTCGTGGGCGTGAATGTCAATCTATTATTAGCCTGGTTGGCCCTTCGATCGTCAGCCTAGTCTTCCGTTGATCGACGGTCATTTGGTCGGTCGTCAAAGATTTGGTCGGCTAGTGATCTTCAGTCTGCCGACTCGTGGTTTTCAGTCGATCAGATTCATGAAAACTTGTATCTTTTCATAAAGAGAATCTTAGTCATATCTTTTAATTTGGTCTGTTAAATTATCTCAAGATTCATGCAGATCGTTTTTTGGTGTACGATTATTAATTTCACATATAAAGTAAAAAAATCATGCCTTAATGTCTAAAAATTAATATTACAGTTTACACACTATAATGTCATAAATTTACACATGAAAAAAATGCCCCGCTCTTAAGAGTTAATAATATGATATTTTTAATATAATATTATAAATTTGAGCGCTATTAAAGGGCATTCACATACATACCACATAATTTTTATATATTTACATAAATTGTGTCATCTATAGTTTTTTTATCATCAGGCATAAATCTCGATGCATTTTGAGCATGATACAAAGCAAATTCAAATTCTAGATCATCTGAAGCCCTAATTTTAACAGATTTATAATCAAGCAAAGTGTCTCGACAAGATGGATCTAATGACACTTAAAGTGATGCAATTTTAGTCTAATAAGCCCAAATCAAATACTTGAAGCTTAGTCAAAAGTTTTAGTGCATCAATTAAAGGTTTAAACGATCTCAAAATTTGGCATGCTTAACTAAAATCTACTAGTTCAATGAGAGAAATCCAACGAGCATGAAATCATTCAACTTCAACGTATTTATGATAGTTAACAAGATGGATCAAAATATTTATAATTGCTGCAGACGATTAAGACCGTTATAATCATCAACTACGACTTTCGGGACAACTACAATGATTTTAGCCACAGACTATAGTTCTTTCAACCCGATTATAGTTGTTATAGCTAGCTACTATTATAACGATGTGATTATCAATTTTTATAATATTATCTTCCTTAATTCAGGAGAAGAGTTGATCATGTACTTTTAATTTCTTAATAGATTACTTTGATCAAGTCAGATCTCATGATTTTTTCCCTTTCCTAAGTTTTTTGACATAAAAACTCTATTTTTTCTTACATCTCTTTACACGTGTTAGAAAAGGTAGGAGCCAAATTTTCTAGCGCAGCCATTCCTAATACCTAAACATTCATAATTACATACATGTCAATCAAGTTTTCAACATTACTATAAAAAAATCGCGATCATTATTTTTCAAAAGTGAAATACACATTTTAAGATGACACAAATATTTTAAATAGACATGTAAATACATAAGAATGATGTGATACTTATGTAAATATTCCTTGCAACAATGTTGGGCTTGTTGAATTCAGATTTGTTTGGGATACACATCCAAGGAATATAGCGTAAATAAAGAGAGACAGAGAGAGCACACTAACGAGCAGTAAACTACGTAGAGGTGTATCTCCATTATTCATGAAAAGATCTATTTATAAATAACGGGATGTGAAATTATATATATACACCTACTTAAAAAGGGATTGTACATGATATTTTAGGTAATGGACATTAACTGGATCGAGAGCTTAAAAAGACGTTTAGTCGGATGTTAACTCGGGCAACCATCATTTATAGGTCAGTTGCGTAGTGTGGACCGCCGCTCATACATTCAGACGACTATAATTATCCGTCCAGTCCTTGTAATGAATTTCGTTGAATCAATTGTGCATAGATTATGTCGAGGCACCCTTCAAACATGTTGTCAGTGGTCACCCGTTACAAGGGTTTGCTTGCTCCAAGCTAACATAAGAGCCGATCAAAGGCAGGCCCTTAGTTTTCTCCTGGTGAGCCCTCATCTGCCTCGTCCTCTTCTTCCTGACTATTGAATTCTTACGAGATTCGTGTTGACACATTTTCCCCCATATCCTTAGCCCTCATGATTATTAAATTTCTTCGAGATTAATGTTGACACATTTTGCATCTATATGCTTAGCCCTTCAAGTAGTACATGCCCTAATAAAGTGAGAACATAAATAAACATGGAGCCAACATCCTAACTCAAAATTTTGAATTTTTAACACCTCATATGCTTCCAAACACCCCACGGATAATAAGAATCCATTTCAATTATTGAATGCCCAAAAAATAAATAAATAAATAAATAAATAAATAAATAAATTGAAATTAAAATGCTTTATTTATATAATATTTATGCTTTATTTTAAATAATCTTATAAGTTAAAATAATCTTATACAACACAACACTGAATAAAAACACCGCCCGGTGGCTCACCCTCCTCCGGCGACAAACCGATCCTCCGCACCACCACCACCTCCTCCTCCCCCTCTAAGAATACTTGTAAGAGACGATGAAGACGAAGAAGACGAAATAGGACCGTTAATGGCGTTGTAATCAGACACACTATCTTGTAGAGTAAGCAGCAGCTGGTGGTTAGAGCTCAAGCTCATTGCCGGCTTCGCCGCCGGCACGTGCGGCGGCTCGGCCTCGTCGCCGAGCATCTGCACCACACTTCTCATTCCCGGCCGCATCACCGGATCCGGACTCGAACACCCCAATCCCACAAGCAAAACCCTCCTCATCTCCCTATCGTCAAACTCTCCCTCTATTCTCGGATCCACAGCTTCCACCAATCTCCCCTCCCCATGAAGTCCCCAAACCCATTCCACCAAGCTGCCTGCCCCCCCGCCGGTCATCTATTGGCCGGCGGCCGGAAACCACCTCTAAGACAAGCGCGCCGAAGCTGTAAACATCTGTTTTATCAGACGCGCGACCTGTGAGCAGGTATTCCGGCGTTTGTCCCGGCGTTCGCGGTGGCGTCCGGCGAACGGTCGTGATCTACCTGACGAGCGAGCCCGAAGTCCCCCAGCCGCGGGTGGTAGTCCTCGTCGAGCATCACGTTGCTCGACTTCACGTCTCTGTGTATCACCTGCCTCTCGCATTCGTGGTGGAGATAAGCTAACGCGGAGGCCACGCCGGCGAGGATCTTTCGCCGGTGCATCCATGGGAGCGCCGCCGTGGAGGAATCGAACAGAGCTTTGTCGAGACTGCCATGCCGCATGTAGTCGTAGACTAGCAAAATCTCTCCTTTTTCCTGGCACCAGCCTTGGAGCTTGACGAGGTTACGGTGCCGGAGGGTTGCGATGATCGATAGTTCTGATAAGAACTCTGCTCTCCCCTGTGCGACGCCGGTGGTTTTTGGTCCGTTGATGCAACGCTTGACGGCCACCATTGCGCCGGTTTCTGGAATGATGCCTTTGTAGACTGTGCCGAAAGCGCCGTGGCCGATGATTCGGCAGGAGTTGAAGCCATGGGTGGCGGTGGCGAGCTCGCGGTAGGTGAATTCACGGGGAGTTTTCACTATATCCGCTTCCAAGAAGTCACATTTATGACTAACTGGCTTCGTTCTTCGGGTAAAGGCCCAGATTAGTAAAGCAGCGCAGGCGGCGATGAAGAAGGCGCCGGCGGTAGCCACGCCAGCCACCGCCACGGGGCCCTTGCGGCATAGGTTGTTGCTGTGGCAGAACGAAGAAGATGATGGGGGTTTCATGCTGCTGTTGTTCGGCCCCTCCGCAACAGAGATGGGGACGGCTGGAGCCATGGCGGTCGGCGGAGGTGGAAAAAACAGGGGAGAAATAGGGGATGACAGTCGGGGCGGCGGAGCAGAAGAAATCGTGGGTGGAGAAGAAGGAGATGAAGAAAAATTCCACCTTTCAATGCTGTGGATCTCGGTGCTTCCTTGAGTCGAACCAGAGAATCCCACGAACATAAACTCCTCGATAAACTGCGCGAGGTTGACGGAAAACGATAAGACGGGATTCAATGGCTGAACGGTGGAGTAAGAAACGAAAACCTGCAGAACACCTGCATGATCGTATTCAATCCACGCATTTATGAGCTTGCCGCTCTTCAAATTAATGCTGGCGGAATCCAGATCGGCAACCTGAGCAGAGACCATGAAATTGAGATCCACGCCGACATGGTTATCATTAATGTCCTCGAACTCAGCATCCATGAGCGTGTCGAACTCGACCGCGATGACGGCGGGACCGGCGGAAGAGGAGCTGATGAGGCCGAGAAAGCCACCGGGGTCACCGAGAACGCGGTCGTCGGAGGTGAGGAGGAAAGCGAGGCCGCCGCCGATGGAGGAGGGGTTGAGGTTGACGACGGAGAAGGAAAATGAGGTGGAAAAAGGGAGTACGGCGCCGGTGGTGGGGTGGCGGAAGCGTACCGGCTCCGCGAAAAGAGCCCTCCCGGCGCCGGAATTGGGGACGGGGAGGTCTCGAGAGAGCCGGATGCTGCCGTTCTTGAGGTGAGCGTCGCCGAGAAGCTTCAGGTTTCCTAGAGTCAGAGTAGAGAAGTCGAACCTCACCGCCGCCGTGCGGCGAGGAGAAAGCAGGATCAAAACGAAGAGGTAGAGAAGGGCAATCCAGCACCGGAGGATCCGCCGTCGTTTGTTCTTCTCCGGCGGCATTGTTAGGTAATCCGGCAATCCATTACAGTCTAGAAGACTAGCAAGGCAGGACCGAGTATGGAAATATTCTAGCCGTTGAAGACAAGCAAGTGGATGAAAGGGGAACAGTTTGTGCGTCGTTTGGTGGAGCGGTGACTGCAGAGGAACTTTCCCCTTTTTTAGTGTTGGGTTGGAAAGGTAAAAAAGGTTTAATTTTTGGGACAGTATGGGCAGAAATCAGAGAGAAAGGAAGGAGAAGAAGAAGTGGGGGAATCCAAAGCAGAGAGAGGGATACAAGTGGAGGGATGCGCGACGCGTGTCATACGTAACGGTAAATTGTGAAGGAAATGGGACTGTTTGACTAATCGGCCATGGCGATTTGAGAGCCGTTGTAGTTCTGTTGAAAAAAGAATCTACTCATTAAAGGAAGCTGCTTGGCTGTCATGTGATCGGAAAAGAGGTAAAAAATAAAAAAAAGTTAGCTTTTTGGACGAACAGTACGGCGGATCCGGCCGAGCAGGACGCGGCCCGTGAGTTGGGAGGCGGCGGGTGGTTCCAGGCAGGATCTTTCCGGCGGAGGACCGCCTGCCTATGTTTCGTCTGGGCAGAAAGATTTGTTTTTTTACTTTTTAACAGTAAAGTTGAGGGTTAAGGATATTGTATGACACATATAAATAGCTAAGTTCTTAATGTATTTGGGGGCTAAGAAAAAGAGTAAAAAGAAAGGTGAAGACATGAGCTTAGGTTGTATCCTCTCTATCTCCTCCTCTCATCTCACAAGATCTCTTGTGGGTTCTGTAAATTCATGAATTATACGAGATATCACGTTATAAAAGTATTCAACATCCTGAAAGATATGATGAGCTTGTATTTCATATTTATACCCAATAATGAGATCTTCGATGCAAAGAAGAATGAAGAAAAATAATGGATTACACTAGAGAGTTCGTGTTACAATAGATGTGCGAGCTGAAGGCAATGATAGAAGAGGTAAGGCAGAATGCCTCAAGGACCCATTACCAGAATCATCCTAGAAGTCATACGAGATCATCAAAATCAATATTAACAGGTTTGAAAATTGCTAGATGTTAATTTCATCTAGGAAGTGTAATATCTCAACTAGCTGTCAAATATAATGATACAATAGATGTGCGAGCTGAGGAAATGATAGAAGATGTAAGGCATGATCCCTCAAGGACCCATTATAGGAGTCACCCTAGAAGTCATACGAGATCATCAAGATTGATATTATGAGGTTTGAAAGTTGCTTGATGTTAATTTCACCTGGGAAGTGTAATATCTCAACTGGTTGTCAATTATATTGATGGCTCATGAGTCAAACAATAAATTGAGGATGTATATAGACTTCACTAACTTGAATGTAATCCGCCCTAAAAACGTTCATCTTTTGTCACGGGTCAATACCCTGGTCGACTCATTCGTAGGACATTCAATCATAAGTTTTTTTACACATTCTCTTGATATCACCAAATCAAGATGCACCCCCACTCATACTGGGGGGAAAAAACTACTTTTATTACTAAAGATGGAGTTTATTGCTATAAAATATAGCTTAAAATATAGCAGAGCTACTTATTAGCTACTCATGGACATTTCTTATTATTGACAATCTCCTAATTAAAAGTAAATAACTCAAAGAGCATATATAAGAACTAAGAGAATCTTTTAATACTCTAAGGTGATTCAACCTTAAGCTAAACCCTTAAAAATGTACTTTTGTGGTGTGTTCAAAGAAGTTCCTTGGGTATATGCTTAGAATTGAAAAAAAACAAAGGCAGACCCTGAAAAAAGTGCAAGCTATACTAGATATGCCACAACCGAAGAATCTCTAATAGTTGCAAACCCTAACCATTCGCATTGCGGGCCTGAATAAGGTCCTTTCAAAATTTGGTGACTAAAGTTCATCATTCCTCGGAACCATGAATGACTCCAATCACTTTGTTTAGTCGAAGGAATGCAACTTGTCGTTTAGACTATTAAAAGTTTTGTTATCATCACCTCCTCCATTGCAAATCTTAAGAGCTAGAGAAGAGTAATTCGTTTGCTTGAAAGTTGGGAAAGAAGTGGTCATTTCCATTATGATCTGTAAGGATAATAAGAAATAATTTCTTGCCTGCTAAGTGAGTAAAATTTTACTTGAGGCCAAGTTAAGGTACACGATCATGAAAAAACTCACATTAGCGCAAATTATTTTTGTAAGAAAGTTGTGCCCTTATTTTTAAGCTAATCTTGTTTACATGACAACTGGTCACATGTTGAAATTAGGATTATCAAAACATGATCACTCTGGAAGGTTATTAAATTGGTCAGTAGAATTAAATGAGCTCAAAATTTTTGCATACCCAGAATGACAATTAAAGTTCAAGTAGTTGCTAATGTCCTAGCAAACTTCTTAAGAGGCTTAACCCATAATAATGCCAACATCAAAGAAAAGTTGTGTACATTATATGTGGATGGGGCTTTCAAAATCTAGAAGAAGGCAGTGTGTATAATCTTATAGAGACCCACATCTTGATACTCCATCTGAATTAAATTCAATGCAACCAAAAGTCAAGAGAAGTATGAGGTACTAATCATTAGATTAAGATTTGCATGAGCAATTGGGCTAACAACCCTCCTTATAAAGTCAAATTTCCATCTAATAATTAACCTACTTAATGGATTATTTAAGGTATAGGATGACATCTTGTCTGACTATCTAGCAATAGCAAAGAAATAGATTAGAAAGGTCAATTACCTCTGAATTCAACACGTTACCAGAGAAGAAAACCAATCTTTCAAATTCCTTTTCAAGGGGGAAATCTTAGAGCATAAATGACACATGACTTTAGAGCAACCAACCATAGAAGAACCTTAAGTTTTGAATATCGAGCTGGAGCATGTCTCAAGTTGCATTAACCCCATAAAGGAGTATCTGACTATCAGAATAATCCCAACAAGCCTCAAAGAATCTAAAAAATTTTAGATTTACGTTTGCATGATATCTGGTTATCAATGGTAGACTATTCAGAAGTTGTGTAACTATTGTAAGTTTGAGACGTGTCAAAGAGAATGAAATAGTCGTGATCTTATACTAAGACTATTTTGGGGAATGCATTAGATACTCGAGTCGAAGAACCCTAACAAATCAGATACTATGATAAAAATATTACTAGTCTAAAAAACATGTAAAAGAACTCACATAAAGTTTTTAATAATGTAAGAAGTTTGCTCCTATACAATTGTATTCTTCTCACAAGCTCTGACCAATAACTATGCCCTAGCCCTTTGCGGTGAGGGGAATAGGCATTCTCAATCTCTTTCATCATGTTAAGGGATTGTAAGATTTCATTCTTGTAATGGTTAACCAATTTTTGAAGTGAATTGAAGTGAAACCCTTAGCCATAATCACTGTCGAGGTAGTCAGCAACTTCATTTTGGCTGATATTATATGTCGATATGGTATAGTCATTATGATCGTCACTAATAATAGAGCTCAATTTGTCGAGAAAAATTTTAGAACTTTTGTAGCGATCAACATATAAAAAATAAATTTACTTCAGTGCACCACCAAAAAATGAATGGTATAGTGAAAGCTGCTGATATGCTCATCTTAAACCTGCTCAAGTAAAATTAGAAGGTGCAAAGAGTAAGTGGGTTGAAGTTTTACTATCTTTGTTGTGGGCACTCCAGATTATAACTTCCACTTCTAGAAGATAGGCTCCCTTAAATTTTTCATATGAAGTTGAAGCCATACTCATGGTGGAATATGAAGTAGTCAGTGAGTCTTAATTACCACTAACTTCAAACAAACCGAACTAAACGAATGGAGAGGACTCAATGATTAAAGTTTCCATATCTCGTTAGATATCTTAGAGGAAATCTAGGATCAACCATTGTATGCTAAAAATTAATAAAGAGAATAGCATCTATGTACTATAATTCAAGGGTTAGAGAGCGACAATTTTGAGCATGCAATCTATTCTTGAAGAAGTTTGATGTTATAACTCACAACCAGTCACACGGGAGGCATGACCCGTCATTGACCGAGCTTTATATTATCAAAGATCAAGTTGATCACACAAACTTGGTTAAGAGCTCCTCATGACATGGAGCTGAAACGATTTAAAAATCTTCTATCTATAAAGTAATAGCACACCAACACTTGTATGAAAATTAAAAAAAATGAAATACTCTAACATTTTATCATGTATACATTTTGACACTTTTACTTAGTGAACTATGAAAAGCTCACTTGTAAAGCAAGCTTAAATAAGTCATCACAATCAAAATGTTAAGGGATTTTGCTGAGATTATAGAGATAACTCTCTCAGAAAAGTTGGAGGGCCCCAGTCAACTAAAATCAAACAAGAATAGCTAAAAAGGTCCTAAGGGATTTTGGTAACTATTTAGCCATTCTTGCTCTAGATGAAATAAAACTTCTTACTCAAATCTCATTTTTTTTTTGAAACCTTGTTTCTTCAACTTGAACCAACTCTAAAAAATTAAGGATGTCCATTGGTTATTTGCATAGTGAAAATCGGAGTTCCAACCGGAATTGGTCATGGTAACAACAGACCTCATGCGTTTGTGTAGTATTCGACATCTCATTCTCTTTAGCCAACTGGAGAGCAAATGAATCATTGAAGATGTAGCTCCTATGGATGTCTTTAATCTGATATGCATCTGTGCAGCAAGAAACTTGGCACTGCATTGTTCTATCTCAAGGAGGGTTGTCGAAGAAAGCTATGGCTATAGAGAGAAACACACAAAGAAGAAAAAGAGTGCACGGTTAAAAGATAGAAGCTCTTCGAAATAACCCTAAAAGATGCAAAGGTGTGCAAGAATTTGAACCTTTTACTTTTCTTAACATAATATTGAGGGCAATAACAAAAATACAGTAGAACATCGCAAGACACGACAATTCGAATACTCAAATGCAAATTATTTGTCGCAAAATAAAATAATAGGACATAAAGTAACCTCATCCACATCATAATGCTTATAATTGTCAGAATAACATCTCCCAACACTTGTAAACTAAACAATACATAAATAAATAAATAAATAGCAAAATCACCAAGTTCATTGAGAAGAAGATAAAAAACTGCAAATACAATCTCTTATAGAAGAGGCCAAGATCATATCCTTTTACATCACTAAACTAATCCTGTTATATTAAAATGGCTTCTTCAAAACAATTTGTCCACCAGAAAGGAACTGCTTGGACAGAGACGACTAGGGAAGCCAAAGCAAGCCTGTCTTTCATAACAAGGAAGCCTTGAACTCTATTCTCTTACATTGCATTTTGTCATTTCATGATGGTGGAAAATACTACTTTGGACTAGCATAATACAACCTCTTATCAACCTCAGATTGAACAGAGCATTGGAAATGAACTTGAAATTCATTTAATAAACAATGAAATTGTAAATCTTTCTTCGTTCCTTCATTCTTCTTTCAGAGTCCCATCGAAGAGTTAAGATAATCGAGAAACTATATGTACACGCTACAGTGGTCTTCATAGGCGGTCACATATAGCTGATTCAACAGTTTAACCAGAGTTAATTGAATGATGTAGTAATTATTAAAATTATCCTCTTATAATTTAAATGATATAATAATTATTAAAGAGTAATATTTTGATTTATTAAACTTCACTTTTAAATAACTTGAATACAATTTAAAATTAAATCTTTTTAAATATGACATTTAATTATAGTTTACTTATTTATAATCTAATTCTTTTATTACACCTCAGTAGGGCTATCAAAACGACTAGCTGTTCGCGGACTGTTCGTGTTCGACTCGTTCGCTAAGTAAACGAGCAGAACACGAACAAAAATTTGTTCGCTCATGTCGACTCGTTTTGGCTCGAAATACTACTCGTCAATTATATATATATATATATATATATATAATATATATATATATATATAAGTAGTATCAACTTTGTATTGTCCACATGAGTAGTATTTTTAAAAAAATTAATTAACTACAAGGCTACAAAGATTTATAATCAATTAAAAATATTAATTAAGAAAATATAATAAAAATTATTAAATTAGATTCAAATGATGTTTTAATATAAATAATAATTTTTAAATCTTGCCCCAACTCTTAACATCTAACAACTACGTGATTTAGCGTTGTCAAAACGACTTTTTGTTTGTGAACAACTCGTGTTCGGCTCGCTAAGCAAATGAGCCGAATATGAACACACTTTTTGAGCTCGAAATATAAACAAGGCTTGCACATGCTCGGCTCGTTTACACCCCTACATCTCAGAAAGTAATTTGTGTTTAAAAACTGCTAATTGCTTTGGACACAATAGGGTTGCTGCCATGAAGAGTGGAGGAGCAGGCTTAGACTCCTTAGACTGCAAGGCAAGGCTTGGAAGGAATTATAGATCAATTATTTATTTGCAGTGCAGGTTTGTTTCTAATGGAAGCAATGCATTGGATGAATTTGTACATGATTTTCGGGTATTGAACCCCCTCCATATTTGAAATTTCATCAAGAAATATAAGCCAAATAGGCCCCCTAAGAATGATATAATTCTCTACCAACCATTATGTAGTTGGTATAATTGAAAATGAAGTTTTTTTAACATAAAATTTAGAACTTGTTTGTGAGTGAAATTTTGCTAACCTCCACAATTTTATTTGCGTTTCTAACCTCCACAACTTTATTTAGAAACTACTTTTTATGTTACATTATAATTCTTGTAAGAAATGTGTCGTTTTAAATTCTTGAAAAAAAAAAATTATAAATTTGATCGTATTTTTTTTAAGAAGTTATTTTCTCCTCAACTATACAAAAAGATATTTCATTCGGACATCCAGACGGTCAATCACTAGCAGCTACGTCACCCGCTGATGACGTGTATGACGACGTGGCTGTTGATGATTGACTGCCGAATGTGCAGTGTTGCAGACGGAATATTTTCTCCAATTTTACAGCCACATTTATAAAAAATCATTCTGTTAATCGAGGAGTGCACTCTTTAAAACCTAAACTAAACCAACAACAAACCAGGAGAATAACTAAGCAGCAAAAGAATGGGTGAAATAAATCTAATCAAGATCAACACCATAAAGAAAAGGCAAATGACAGACGAGTCAATACTATTTTCAAACCCAAAAACAATAGCAAAAAGAGATTTTTTGTGGGTTAAAGATTGATGACTGCTTAGAGTTTTGGTGGGAGGTGCTGGAGTGAATTTTGGTGGAGGTAGTGAGATTGACTATTGAAAATTTAGAGTTGTGGCTAAAGATTGCGATAAGAATGATTGCGGTATTGAGTTGGTCAAAAATTTTGGTTATGTGGATTTTAGGATTGGCGTGAATGACAAATTCATAAAATTTGAGGATTTGTCAGACTCTAATACCAGATGATGTCGTTCTAGAATAAGACCTTAATCTGTCCCTTAAATTTTTGCTATGATTGGAGAGTGAGCATGCCCCAATATAGACATGTTACTATAGGACGGGTTTTGTAGCGATACCGTAGCATAGTACTATAACAAAAACTCAACATAATGCTATCGATTATTCAATAAATTATTTGCTTAAACTAGATTAAGCATGATAGGATTACCAACTTACTGGTTGGACGACACAAGCACAACATGAGGTTTGATTTCCAATTCTATCATGTTAACCAAAGCAAGAAATAGGATATGATAATACTACAGAACTAACTTTTGAATAGCCGATGACAATCAATGGCATAATCAAAGATATTTGAGGTCGACCTGCACAAATGGTCGGTCTCCATAATGATCTCCTTGGAAGTTCTTCAAAGATGCACTCAGAAACTCGAGTTATGTTACATGAGAGAATAAAACAAGGATAACAGTGTACAAGGAATTCAAACCTTGGCATTAACACAATATCATGTGCAAAGAGGAATGAAAGAGTTCTGAGTGTTTGTGTGTGAGTGTGTATACTTTGCCCACAGGAGAACTCAAGAGTTATGTTACTTGAGAGAATAAAATATGGATAACAGTTTATAATGAATGCAAAACTTTTCATTAACATATTATCATGTATAAAGAGGAGCGAAACGGCTCAAGTGTTCGTGTATGCGTGCATGTGTGTTGCCCACATGAGACGATTATCACTCTTCATTATTCAAAGGTAAGGAAATGAAATTAAAATAAAGTAGTGGTGGATAAAATAGAAATAGTGGTGGAAAAGTTCTAAAAAAAAATGTAACAGAGAAGTAAGAAAATGTGGTAGTTAAAACAATGATTGAAGTTTTATATAAAGCTACCACTTCTATCATTCTAAGCACATTTGTTTGGTAAAACCTATTAAATTAAACTATATGAATCAATACAAACGTCAAACAATATATATATATATATATATATATTAGAAAAAAAAATGCATCATGTAAATCCTTTTTTACAAATATTCTAAAGCTCATGAATAGCATAAAACACGCTTAAGAGATGCTCCTTCATTGCAACTCATTCTCATCTTTCATTGTCCCTCCTAAAATCCTATTTTGATAAGATTCTTGTCGTGTTTGTAATATGGAAGGAAGTGGAGCAATAATTTCGATCACCTGTAACGTACGATTAAAATGAGTGTTAAGTAATGGAATGAAGATTTACGTACATGCCAATTATTTTTTGTATAATATGGACCGGAAGGCCGGAATTCAGAAGGCAGAGGGATGAAATTCAATTTTTTGGGATGAAGTGGCTAATACGTTTTCTATTATAGATATAATATAGTAATAATGTTTATTTTTCAATTTTTTTAACACATTTTATCAAACATTACCGCTTCATAAGTATTAGTATAATAAAAATTAATGAGAATTCTTAATTGTGACTTCTCAATTATTCTTTTTTTTTTATGAAGAAATTCGTTAAGGCTAAAAGGTGGGAATATGAAAAGATTTTCAGCTTTTCTTTTTTTTTTAATTTGAAATGAGGAAGCCGGAAAGGCATAAGGCGGAAGTCAAAAGACCAAAAGCTTAAAGTTGGAAGGATAGAATAAAAGTAGATTTTAATTTTTTTTTAAATGAAATTGCTTTTAATGTTATGGCTCATCTTAAGCCTATAAATAAAGGTCATGGATGAGGAAAAAAATCACAAGTGATGAGAAAAAAAAGGAGAAAAAAGAGGGAGAGTGGAGAGTAGAGTCTTTTGCTAGCGAGATTTTTTAAAAGAAGAAAATTGTGTCCGTCAAGCGTAACATGCGATCAACGGGATCTTCTTTCGGGTTGCGGCCAAGAGGAAAGTCGTCATTGTTCTACGTAGCAGATGAGCAACAAGATTTTCTTTTGTGTTGCGACGAGGAAAGTTGTCCCTATCCTGCGTAGCAGGGGAGCAACGGGATCTTTCAAGTTGCGGAAATGAAGACAAATGGATAACCTCGTTCTGCTGAGAACTATAGGAAGGGTCAAAACTCAAAAGACGCGGCATCAGTTATGACGGAGAGCGACTTAATTTTATTTCGAAAGTACTACTTCCGAATAAAATAGTGGTGAAATTGCCGAATTCAGTTGACCGATCGTATTCTCATCCTTCTGGGTATATTGTTATTCACGAGGCAGTCTTGAGAGTCGCCTACGATTTCTGCCGGTACCTGACTTTATCGAAATCATAAAGGGATTCAGATTTTGTGTTGCTCAACTGTCATGACGGGTGGTGATAATCATTATCGGGTTGACTGTTTTTCTTAGGAGTCGAGGGCTGATGTTAACACCATTAACTTTAGCGCAATGGTGCGGGTTCTTTAGTGACACACATGATCGTTTGATGTTTAAGCACAAGGCGTTGGATTTTCACTTGAAGAAACCGATAAGGCAATGGTCAGTGAGATTCTTTACTGCAAAGAACGATTGGGGGCTCCGTGAGAGGCGTGAAAGGTTCCAACAATATTCTACCTCTCTTCAGAATACTGAGGAGAAAATACTGCGGATGCTAGGATTTTGTGACTTTAAGAAGATATTGTTTGACGCAAGATGAATTTGTGGGAGAAAAATAATTATTCAAAGGTCACGGTTGTAACATTGAAGAAATCTAAAAAAGGACCTTCCACCCACGTGGTATCCTCAAAGCGGCCCCCAACGAACAATGACTGTGCAGTACTCCCTCAGAAACAACATAAGGCTAAAGAATCGTGGAAGTGAGGATAAATCGTCAGTGGCCTTTGACTTGCCCGGGGTTGTGCATCAGGGTATTACACAATAATGTAAACTCATCTGAGGACTTTGTAACAAGTCCGCCGAAGACTTTTTAACCCATCCGAGGTTGTTTGTACTAACCTGTGTGAAAGAAGTCAGATGTAGTCCACCAATGACAGTTAACCTATCCAGGGTTATTTATCGAAGTAAAAACTCGGCGATGTTAACCAGTATGGAAAAAGATTGATCGAATCCCCCTGGGGTTGATCGTGTTCTGACTAAGATGCAACAGAAGTTGTGTATTTCTCGAGTCAAGAGCATGGAGTGATTCGTGAATGAACCGTTACACTTTCTAGAGATATCCTCCATGTAGAGGAAAACAAGTGAATGATATTCATTTAATAAGTCTGAAATACATTGACACTATATGCAGCGACGATAACAGACAATGATAGACATTAACTACATGACTGAAGCGTTACTAATAGAACATGTGAATATTCTCTGCATTCTATGTTAAGGGCAAGATTTTTCCCTCTGAATCCTTGAGCTTGAAGATTCCTAGCTTGATCCCGACAGCGACGATATATGTGCTTTCCCAGAGGGGATAGTTTGTTGCATTGATGACCACGTCCGACGGCTTCAATACTATGCAAGATCAGGTCACCGATGGAGATAGGACGAGACTTGACTCTCCGGTTGAAGTAGTGAGCAACTCTTTGGCAATAGAAGGTAGCTCTAAGGTGGGCAACCACATCGCGTATTTCTGGGAGGAGATACAAATGTTGTAGGGGTTTATCCTCGTTGATATCCAAGTCGAAAGCCTTAATTAGTGGGTATGGAACTCTGATATCAACTGGAATGACAGCCTCGATACTGAAACACAAGTTATATGGATCTTCCTCGATTGAAGTTCGCGAGGTCATGCAATAGGCCCGAGGACGTTGTGGAGATCTACCACCCACTGCTCCCAGCCTTCTCAAGACGAGTCTTCAAACCCTTTAGCACTGTCTGATTTGTCACCTTTGTCTGTACGTTCGTTTAGGAATTTGCCACGGTAGTATGCACCAGCTGGATGTAAAAATACCTGCAGAATAACATAAAAGACATTTCCAGATAATTGAGTCTCATTAACAGTGATAATCTTCATAGGGAGCCTGAAGCAATGGACAATGTTTTTCCAGACAAACTGCTTAGCATTGCCTTCAGTGATCTAGGTGAGCGGCTCAGCTTCTACCCACTTGGTGAAGTAATTGACAGCTAAGATGATAAATTTTTGTTGTCCAGTAGCTATTGGAAACGATCCATTATATCTACCCCCTATTGGGCGAAAGGTCAAGGACTCATACATGACGTGAGTTCTACTGGTGGTGCATGCAAAAAATTGGAGTGTAGCCGACAACTCTTGCACTTTTGCACAAAGTGCAACACATCTTGCTTAATCGTAGGCCACTAGAAACCTTATATTATTATTTTAAAGGCAAGAGCTCTACCCCCAAGATGTTCCCCACGTATTCCGGAATGAACGTCTTGCAAAGCGCAATCAGTTTCAGATGGGAAAGACACTTGAGGTATGAACCTACAAATGACTTTTTATATAGTTCATCCCCAATAAGGATAAAGTTGACAGCCATGCGTCGGAGGCGAATTAATGCAGTAGCATCATCGAGCAGTGTTTTGTCTAGGAGGAAGGAGGTGATAGGATCCATCCAAATTATCTCCTTTTGGTCATCTATACGCAGTAACACACAAGGGCCTTGGAGGTTTGGAAAATTTATCCCCTCGATGCACCTTCTTTTAAAGAGATCAATTGTCGAAGTAGCGAGCTTGGAGAGAGCATTGACTCAGGTGTTCTACTCCCTAAATATGTGAATTGCAATGACTCGGGTATGTTTCAATTCGGGTCGATAAGTGTTTTCACCAGATTGAGATATTACATCGGTTGTAAGTTATGGGCGTCAAATTCTCCCTCAGCTTGGGATGCGACAAACTAAGAATCAGTGTAAATAATCATATTTCGTACTTCACAGTCGATGACAAGTTTTAATCCGGCGATGAGGGCTTCATACTCGACAACATTATTGGGGAGATTAGTAATATTTCAGCACTAGCTCCAGAGTTTTTGTATGCTCCGTCCACGTACAGTGTCCACTAAGGTGGCAGTGGAGGAGAAAAAGATGACTCATCAGAAGCAGACACTGTACATTCTACCATAAAGTCGGCCAACACTTGTGATTTGATGTTTGATCTAGGTGCATACGAATGTCAAATTCTCTCAATTTCATTGTTCGTTTAACTAATCTTTCTGATGCTTCTGGTTTTTTTACAGGATAACCTTCAAAAGGAGTTTTGTGCAGACGTGTTTCATCTCATGTGTTTCTTCGTTTCAGTATGAATCCTCTTCAGCTTTGCCCAGATGTCCCTCATCTTTCAAATGTCATCTGCTGATGAGGCAATCGATGGAGCCATCGAGTTGAGAAACCAAGTGTATAGGCATGTATGGTTTTCCATTCATTCCCCTAAACACTATCGCCCTGTGGCTCAACCTTGACTCTCGTCGATATCCCTCTAGTCTCTTTCCTACTAGAGTAGTCTTGATCTAACGTGATCAACTAAGATATGTGGCCAGTCCATCAAGTTTCAAATCCACAGGAGAGAGCTCTAGCTTCACCTGCATAAAAGTTGTTGAGGTAATGACTTCCGTCAAGAAGCTAGCTCCCTATATGAACTCGACCAAAACCTTCAAAACTTTAGGATCTATCTTCCCTAGAAGTTCTAATCCTTTACCCCAAGCACTATCTCCATATCCTAACATCCTCAATAACAAGGATCCAAGTCTAGATCACACACAACTTCCTCTTCCTGACCTGATCCTGATATATCTCATCATCAAGATCAAACTCAATTTAACTATTTTTTGCTTTATATGCCCGATCTAAAGCCCTTGCCAGATTTTCTTCCAATCGGAGTTATGTGAACTTTCCTATTCCTAAGCACGCAGGAGCCTGTACTTCACCTCTGCTTTGTAGCAAATGGAGGCATCGCAGTATATGAAGACCTTCGAAGCTCCCAGTTGTCGCAATTAGGCTCGCTGGAAAGCAACAGCGGGATCGCTAGTTTCCCTTCTTTCGAAGCTATGGGAGCTCCTTCTGCGCTCGGGAAGCAGCGGCAGGATCGTTTCATGGGATGCGCAAAGACCTCCGAAACTCCCTTCTTCTGCTCCTTCTGTGCTCGAGAAGACCACCGATGGGATTGTTGTAGCCTACAGAACTCCCTTCTTCTAAAGCTGATGCCGCCTCCCTACTTGCACTGGTAAGCCACAACCCAAAAAGCAATGGGATCACAGAAAGTGAGGGAAGCAATGACGATATCGCAGCGCAGAAGGACAGCGAACCTCCTATCTTTCTCGTCATCCACTCTCAGTACTACCACGCACGTAAAGTAACGTGCGTAGTCAATAAAATCACGCCACGACACCCCACGCGACAGAAAAAAAAACGGCTCGGTAACACGGGGAATATTCCCCCCAGTGTTATTCATGTGTTATTCATGTATTATTGTGTCATGGGAATATTCTTAATGTTATAATAACACAATAACACATATATAACACATAAATAACACATAATAACACATGGATAACATGAGGGGAATATTCTCCCGGGTTACTATGTCATTTTTTTCTCTGTCGGGAATATTCTTCAGCTGTTATTCTAGTGTTATTGTGTCCTGAGAATATTCTTGGTGTTATAATAACACAATAACACATCAGTAACACACAATAACACATGAATAACACAGAGGGGAATATTCCTGTCACGTGGGGTGTCGTGGTGTGATTTCATTGGCTACACACGTTACTCTACGTGTGTAGTACTGATGTAATATTTTTTCCGCTTTGTCCTCCTTGCTAAAGCAACGACGGAATCGCAGTGCATAACTGTTCCCGAAACTTGGCTAGGGTTTGGCTTTGATAACAAGAAAGAAAAAATGCTCAAAACCAACTTTGTACATTCATAACATGGGGTTAAATAGGGTTGTGATGTTTTACAAATAAATTTCTAGACTTCTACAATATTCTATCTTTACCAATAGGCTAATTCTCAGCACAATGATAAAGTATTTGTGAATACTCCATTTGGAGCAACGAGGGCAAAATATAAAATTTTAGAAACACGTCTTGTATCGTTGGAAAAATTATTCCATACGGACGGACACCGGATGCAAAAATACATGGATCTCCACCGTCCATCACAACAAAGATATACGATGGTTGGTCCTATTTTGAATTAAAAAAAAATTACTGTGATGGATGGTGGAGATCGGACACCGGTGCCGTATGAAATAATTTTTCGTATCGTTGGTTTCATAATTGATGGACGAGAAAAAAAAAACTCTAATTGCATTGCAAACCTTGTCTGTGGATGGGTGGCGGAGAACAAGCATATGAGCATGCAAATAATAACCACAATCTCCTGGCACAGGTCTTGCAGGCCTCTGGTAGCCCCTACATAATGGCAATAATTAAAAGGAAGATTCACAGTCAAATCACATAATTCCTATGTATTTGCATATCTAACAGCTAAAATTTGATTTTTACATTTATAGCACTTTATCTGTACATGAAAAGATATATTTCACTTACCAGAAGTTAATAATAGTGGTATTTTTTAAGTGATATGAAAGATTTGGGTATTATAAATGTAAAGATTTAGTGTTTATGTCTTATGATATGTAAAGAAATAGAGATTGTGTGGTCTGTATGTAAATGTCAAGGAAAAGCATCAAGACTGTACAAGAATGACATCAATAATGCAAAGGAAGAACATTCGTAGCAGCAAGAAGTTAGAGAGGGGGCGCTCTAGTATTTTAAAAAGCATAGCATATTTCTGGATATTGTATTGCACCAAAAAGAAAGAAGACCAAGCAAATTAAGATACAGTAAAATGAAATTTGCTTCAAGCAGCGATAAACCTATGAATTTACATATCTAACAACCAAAATTTCATTTCTTACATTTATACCACCCAAATCTTTTATATCATATCAAAAGTACCACTATTTTAGCTTTTGAAAAGTGAAATACACCTTCCAAGCATAAGTAGTGGGTAGCATACATCAGAAAAAAGAGAAGTTTTTTGTTATAATTAATGAACTGCAAATTTCAAATCCGGTAGGCGTTATTTCATTCATTACATTATTTAGTTGAATTAAAATCTACTAATCCTAGGAAATCATGCATGGCCTAAATCACTGATTTAAGCTAGCTGCTGCATATGCAACTAAACTAAATAATTATCAAAATTATCAAAATAACCTCATACCCGTCTTCAGGAATACTGTACTTTACAGTTTCAGTTTCAAGTAAATTGGGCCGCCCACCAACCTGGTAAAGAGGATCTCCTGTTCCACAGAAAAAAGTATGATTGTTCAACGTTGAGACTCAGTTTTGGAATGATTTATTTTTATAAATTTTGTTTGAAAGTTATTTTTCGAAAAGCCATGTTTTAAAGTTATTCTGAAACAGTACCGGCTTCTAAAAACATAGGTTTCTCAAAAATGTTTGATACTGAAACTAGTTCAGAAATCGTTAGATACGAAAGCAAACTTCATTAATCAATTTGTTAAGGTTACAAACAAGACTCAATTTAAAGAAAATCGCAACAGACAATAATCCCCGACTAGGGCCGGATTATAAGATCCGAAGTGACGATGGTGCCCGCAAAGAGATTGTAGTAGCAATGAGTGGGAAACTATGAAGAGGTTACGGTAGTGTTTAGTGTAGGTGGGGGAAGTGCAGGCAGTTGGCTGGAAGGCTGGAGAGCAAGGGGGAGTGCAGGAAGGCTGGCGGCACAGCTAGGGGAAGGCACGGATTGGCCGACACCAGGGTTCTGGAAGGCTGGACAGCAGGTTTGCAGTAGTAGAGGTGGGCGGCAGGGCAGCTGGAAGGGAAGGGAATGGCCGGCAGCTACGGAAGGTGTAGGAGAAAGGTTAGGGAAGATGATAGGGGGTGATACAACACTACCTCGGAGTATGATACAGCCAAAGCACCACCTGTAGTCGAATACAGCCCTAGCAAGGAGAGGAGAAGACTCCAAGAGAAATTCCGAAACAACAACAAAAAACTGAACCTTAGTTCATTCAAATAGCAATTAAAAAGACTCAGATGAGAAAAGAAACAAGAAACGAACAAAACAAGGAAGGGGGAAAGGGCTGGTGACAATACCGCCCCTCCCAAATAGCCGCTTAGTCCTTTTGGGACCTAGACCAAGGCAATAGGGAAACAGGCAGACCGGTTCCCTCCTGCCAGCCGGTTTAGCCGACTAGCTCCCTAGCCTCACGTCAGTCTCCCGGGGTTGGGAAAGCTTCAAATTCATTCGTCAAAACTTCCAATTCTTCGACTGTAATCCTAGCAGCACCAGGATCCCATTGGCGACCGCATCATCCTCTAAGTTACCTGAGGGTCTTTCCAACCTTACAAGCAAACATCCACATCTTCTGAAAGTTTGAAAGCGAACTGAATTGTTTGTCCCGCCTCTATTACTTAATGCTCCCAAGGTCATCCATGATTGGCTTAACCAGATCTGAAGTGAGGGTAACATGAACCTTGGTAGTGGAGCTAGTGGTAAAGTATCAACCCTGATATTTTGAAATGCCCTCTGTTGTGTTTGTCCTATGTCTAGAGCTAATGTTGCAATCCCATCATCCCCTATCGTCACCAAAATCGATCCCACCAAGACAGTTCTTCTAGTGAGGGCTCTCGTGATCTCGGGTTCTACCGGTGAAGTGCTTCCCATCCTTGGTGAAAGAATACGTGTTTCTAAATCTATCGTGTTGAGTCCTCCAGTTAAACTGCAATGGTCTCCCCAATAAAAGGTTGCAGGCATCTATAAGGACCACGTCGCACCAAACTTGGTCATGCAGCTGACCCCTAATGAAAACTCTACTAAACATCTTCGGTCGATGCTGACCCAATTCTCCTTCAACCACGTCAGTGAATACGGTCGGGAATGTCTCTGAGTCATAAGACTCAATTTCCCAACCATTTGTGTAGATTTCACATTCTTACTGCTCCCTACATCGATGATGAGGTTGCAAACCCTCCAGTTCATGGTGCACCGGGTGTAGAATATATTTTGATGAAGCCAATGTGAATCTCTTACATCAATGTCCTTAGGACTCATCGAACTACGAGTGCTTCTCCTTCATCTGGTAGAAGATGATACACCTCACCTTGGTCCTCGACTGTCTCTTTGTTGCTAACTTCCTTCACGGCACCCTGGTCTGTGAGGATGACTATGGCTCGTAGGACAACTAGAGGCTATGTGCCCGTAGTCAAGGCACTAAAACACTTCTTAGCCGGTACTGTATTGGAGAAATTACATTTCTCTTATTTCTTCTCACTCTGATCTAGCTTGTCACTCCCTTGTCTGATCTTGCTAGTTCCTCCTTAGGTACCCATGTCGGTCGTGGTAGTTTTAGGTGACTGCTTGACCGACGACTGTTGCCTACTTTGTTCCTGTTGTCTTTCTACCTTCAAGGCTAGAGTCTGAAATCTCCAAGTGATGAATAAGGTTACAGCCGCACATATTGCTAATAGTTGTGATATCGAGGTTAATCAAAACCACGACACAAGACACAAATTTATTAATGACTTAAACACGGTTACAATGATAACTCAAAAGAAAAAAAAAAAGAAAATGCATAAAGCAAAAGCATAAAACAAAACGTCACAAAAAAAGACTCAACAAACGAAGACACAATGAGGGAGTCTAGAGAGGTGGGCTAGAGCAGCGGCTGCGGTAAAGGCCGGAGAGGTGTCGGCAGCTGTGGAGGAAGGTGGACAGCAAATCAGCGGTAGTAGGGGCGTCGAACTGCAGCTGAAGGAAGCAGGGAGGAGGTGCAGAGAGTGCTAGTTGTCTGGGAGGAAGCCAGCTGTTGCTGGAAGGCAGTGGGAGCAATGGTGGCCTGCAAGGATGCAGGCGGGAGGGCCGGCAAGCGCTAGCTGTCCGGGAGGAACAGTGGGAGTTCGCTGGCTGCAGGAGGCGTGCCGGAGTGGGGGCTATGGCAGCAGGTGGAGAAGAGGCGTGGTGGTATTGGTTGCTGGAAGGAGGCAGAACACGGGAAGGCAGAGCAGCGGCAGCAGCATTTTTTGGACTTTACGGCAGAGAACAGTGCTGGCTAGATCTCAAAGGAGAGGAGGAAATCCCAGTTACTGTAGTGCAGGAATGAGCAGGGGCTGTTGCGGCAGTTTGTGGAAGGGGATTGGAGGTTTACAAAGCCTGTTGGCCGCAAGTGGGCAGCGGGATGGTGAGGCAGTAGGAAGGGGAAGGGGAAGGGGAAGGGAGAAGGGGATCTGTAGGGATGATGGCTGGTTGCAGCAAGCTGCGGAAAGTATGGTAGACAGCAGGAAGGGAAGGAAGAAGGAGAGATGAATATCTCGGCAGGGTCTAGCTATAGCCGGAGCATCACCCAGAGCTATAGAGACGATCACCATCTCGGAAGGGGGACAGTCGGAGCACTGCCTCGACATCAGATACAGCTCTCGAAGGGAAAATATCAATGTTAAACCTTGGATACATATTTCAAAATCAAAACCCCCTAACTCAGACACTTCAACTTCTATTTATAAAAGACTTGGCCCTAAATTAAGAAAGGAGAATTAAAATAAATTCAAGATCTCAGACTTTAGGAAATGTTTGAATTAAGGAAGGAGAATAAAATCAGGATTTAGGCTTTTAGAAAAGAAATAAAATTAGGAAAGGCCTAGGAAGGAAAATAGAAATAGGAAGTAGAGAAAGAAAAAGGAATAAAGGAAATGAATGAGGAAGGAGGGGGCGGTGGGGCCCCCCTGTAAGAGGACCAGTCGGTCCTTTATGAACCCCGCGTCAGTCTCCCGGGGTTGGGAGAGCTTCGATTTCAACAGTTGAAGCTTCTAGTTCTTTGTCTATAAGCAGCACCTAGGTCCCACTGTCGATTATAAGGTCTCACAAAGCACTTGTAAACATTTCTCCCTCTCGGTCCAATCTCCTGTGACTTAAATATCTGGCATGATGGTGGCCATGGTGGTAAATAATTGATTGTCGCTAGAACTAATCATGTTGCTCTGCTGGTAAGGGCGGCTGCTCTTGTGTCATCGGCCTCAATCGAAGGAAGTAGAATGAGGCGTTTATAATCCTTAGTGAAAGAATACGTGTTTATGAATCTATCGTGTTGGGTCTTCCGGTCAAATTGTCACGGTCTTCCTAGCATAAGGCGACAGACATTCATGGGGACCACATCATACCATAGTTGGTCCTTCAGCTGACTCCCTATTGAAAACTCTACTAGGCATTGTCGATTAATGTTGACATTGTTTTCCTTCTTTAGCCACGTCAATAAATATGGCTCGAAATGCATCTGAGTTGTGAGCCTCAATTTTACTATCATCTAAGTCGATCCTACGTTCTTTGTTGCTAACCCCGTCAATGATAAGATTGCATACCTTTTCGTTTATAGTGCAACAGTGGAAAATGTTCTACTGATCCCTTGTTTCTTCGGTTTGTTGAATCTATCGAATCACAAGTGTTTCTCCCTCATCTGATGGAAGCTAATGCTCCTAACCCTATTCCTCAGCTTCCTGCTCCTTGCTAACCTCTTCCACGATGCCCTGCTCTGTAAAAGATACAGCTCTGCTCGTTGGGCAGCTAGAGGCTATGTGCCCAAATTCGTGGCATTTGAAGCATTTTCTGGCGGGCATTATAGTCGGCTTCTTCTCACTGAGGGTGGCTTTATCCGTCTCCGAACCACTTTTTCTCAACTTTTTGCGACGTGCTCCTGCTGGTGTCTCCAACTGTGGGTAGATGTCTGACGGGTGATGGTTGTCGGCTCTGTCTGCTGTCTTTCCACTTTCAATGCCAAGGTTCAGACGTCATCGAGCGTCCAATACGGCTGTAGCTGCACCACATTGCTAGTGCTAGATTTCAAGCCCAAAGCTATATGACTACTGTATTCTCCTCTGGCTCTGTCAGATCAGATTTCAACTGTAAGTGTTCAAACTGAGCTGTGAACTCCTCCATTGAAAGTTCTCTCTGTTGCAAATTGTGGAGTTTTAGAAAAATGTCTTAACGGTAATGAGGGGAAGATATTTCTTCTGCATTGTTTTCTTCATCTTCTCCCACCGGGTAATCTTTTCGTCGCCTTCTCGCCTCCTCTGTCGCTATACGTTCTCCTACCATAGGGAGACACTTTTCTTCAATTTAATAGCAACTAATTTAACCCGCCTCTCTTCAGACACCTCTTAGTATTCGAAAATTCACTCAACTGCTTGTAATCATTCAATAAATTCATCTAGATACACGCTCCCCTCAAACTCAACTAAATATGTTTTGATATAGTAGTCTTGGTGCCCTCCAAATGACATC